TGGCAAAGCTGCACACTGTTGCACTATTTATGTAACCGTATTGTTGCGTACGAGGTGGCCTCAACTAAAAACCTGATGGTTTCTAGAGGTCACCTCGCCTCACATTAAAATATTTATATATACTGTGCATTAAGTAAAAAGGCAAAATAAACAGAATGAATGAATGAATCTAGGACCTTAAAATATCAATTCAAGTTCCTAAAAATACACGTAATCACTATCTCTATATTGGGATGTGGAGGCAGTTGAATTGTTGGAAAGGAAGTCTTTAAAATATTCCTTGGTAATAGGTAGTCTTTTAATTTCCTTAATGTGTAACCTCTTATTATATCACAGCCATCACTTACCTTTAATTCAACCAGAGAAGAATTATAGGAAATCTTTCCCCTCAGTTTTTGCTTCCCTCTACAATAAAAAGGCAATAAAACTGTTAACAACAATAGTGACAGAGTGGGTTCTCCAAGATTGAGAAATGATTTATTTCCTAGGACTGATAAAGCATTTTTTTTATATTACTATTAAGGCCCCAGGGGCAGAGGACTAGTTTTCTTTTTAAGACCACTTGTGGGGAGTGGGAAGGGGTGTCTTAATTTAAGTCATAAATCACTTGCAGAAAATGTATACCTGGAGGTTGTTGAAGATTAGTACAACACGTACCAATGACAAATAATTTGCTGGCAGGATAACTCTAAAAATATGCTTAAGCATAAAATATGATTGTTCTTCATTAATTGTCTTGGCTTACCATCTTGAGAGTATATGCAAGGGGGATAACAAAATATTTACATCTGGGTTTTGTCCAAGCATGGAGACAGCCTTTTCTTGCCCACTAGGGTAGCCAATCACAGAGCAGTATTTACTTTATCTTTCCTGTTAGTAAAGCTAGCCACATAATAAAGTGCATTATAATGAACAGTTCCAGAGGTTTAGTACAATGTCAGACCTTTGACATGACAAATTATACCCAAAATGAAAAGTCAACAGGCTTCATATAAGGCCTGATGAAAGTAAGACTTCAATGCAAGGAAGGGACTACTAGAAGTTTTAACCAATTACTTTTCAGAAAGACACGGACAATCTTCACTTAAAACTAACTTCAGTAATTATTTTTTATTTTCTTATGTCTTTACTTACCTTTGTAGAGCATCCTTTAATTTAGAAACATTACTTGTTCCATTAACAATAATGACAGGTCTTGAAAACATCTGAGCCAAGTCAAGCTAGAATGAAAAGAAATACACCTGTAAACCAGATTAAAAGTCACCAAATGCAATCTGATAGATTATGTGACTATCGAGACATTACTAGTAAGTGCAACGAAGGATTCCCAAAGAAATTTAAAGGATTTAACAGTTCTCCATTTAAATTTGTACAAGTTTGTAAATGTGATAGAGTTTTAGGGAGTGCTCTACTTGTAATCCAATCAGAACAGTCTGTTAGTTATGTAATCAATTAGTAGTAAGTAATATATCAAACACAAAAGCCTGTGTTTGACCACATTTCCAAGCACCAAGAGAGTTGGAAATACAACCCACAGCAGGGATTTTTTTTGACAAACTTCGAGGTCTTTGGAAATGTGGTCAAATGCAGTCTTGAGTGCTTGACATGTCTTCTCATAATAAGACTGCCATTCTCAACATTTAGAATTTAATATTTATTTGTGTTGTTCCAGAAAATAACCCACCCCTCTTGTGGAGGGTTTTGTTTGGTTTGACACCTCTCCCCATTCCTCTGGAAATTGAAGTTTCAGTATATACTTCCCTTTCAAAAGTTCTAAAAGGTTTTTGAGACCCAATAATAATTATTATGCTCTGTGGTGTGGGTGCAAATATTTTCTGGAATCATACATGTATTGTTTGTCTTTGCCAAGTAATAGAGGGAAAGAATTTCTTTAGAAAGAAAGGCATGAGCTTATACAAACCTTTCTAAATACCCGGTGATTCAATGTAAGGATAATTATTGCCGAGGCACCAAGGAACATTGCCTTCTTCACCTTAAACACAACATTTTAGAGAGTTCAATCTTCACAAAAATTCCATGATATGTTTCATACATCAAAAGACAAACACCCTATATCTAACACAAACACACCAGGGTTGTCAATATAGTTTTTACATAGACAGCTTCATTTGTTGGAGTAGGCAGCTGATTCTGCAGAAATTTGACCAAACATTTGATAATTTGACAAGCCCTTGTGGCACACACACAGTTGGTACAAACATAATTTGAGATTTAGGGTTTTAGTTGATGGTCTTATCAATAATAGTGAAGAAGTAGCTTCTTCTAGGACTTTCCACAAGTTGCTCGGCAACAGGCAACTTTTGGGAAACTTCTCATATTTTGAGCAACTTTTTTCTTTTCAAGCAACTGTTTGCACTCTGAGCAATTTCTAGTTTGCTACCAACTCTGAGAAATCGGAGTAACATTTAGTGCTTAAATTGGCCTTGCTTCCATATTTCACAATGTTTCAGTACACAATTTATGAATTTCCTGTGAAAGCCAGATACCCCCTCCCCACTGGGGCAGATCATGGGTGCAAGATGCATGCAGTCGGGCTGCTAGGTCAGCAGCTTTGTTTAAAGAAAATTCAAAATGGCGAACAAAACTTCACACTCATCTGACTCAAGTGTCTCAGGTGAAGAATTTTTACAAGATTAATATTAATATCGATGTGTAGTCTTTACTTATTAATTTTTTGGTTTTAATTGAGGACAAAGTTATATAGCAATGCTGGTTACGTTGCAAAATTGCACAAAAATAGTTAGAAATCTTATTTTTGTTGTACAATTGGCATATATTTGCATCAGACCAAATAAAGGAAGAGAGCAACAATTTTTTTGAGCAACTTTTTGAGAAATTTCTGGCAACTTTTTGGGAAATCCCAAACAACTTGTGAAAAGCCCTAGCTTCTTCTAAAAAACATACCAGATTCAAGACTAGAGTGCGCAAACCTAATACTCCATTTCAGACCAATTAACAGCTAAAAATCCATACCTTTTGGTGCTCCTTATACTTAGATACCTCCCATATAAAGGAGTACACCCCCCTCCCCTTCTATAGGGACAGCACCCGCAGCTCCTAACAGCACTTATTTTTCGACGAGACTTTAATTTACTTAAGGCTGGAATAGACATCCTAGACCTCTGTTTGACAATATTTTCGCTATGAAACGGCATTTCCTCGTCACAGTTTATCTCTCTAGGGAGTTCTCTAGGGTCAAGTAGCACACCTTGCACCAGTCCGCTTCACTCCCCTCACAGGGTCTCCCAGGTGCTTAGGTCTCCAAATTTGTGTAGTATATGGTTTTATTTTGACAAAAACGAAAACAGAAAAGTTAGGCACAAACCCTTTCTAAGACAGAACAAGACTTGGAGCCTCGAGCGTTGTAATATTCTAGAACAGGGAT